CCAAGCCACAAAATCAGCCAGACATAAATTTTCCAATTTCTTTGGTCTTCTCTGATATCTTTTAATAATGTTATCTGATTCAATATCAACAGAATGATCAGGAAGTTCTTTAATTTTATCCATACTTTTTAACAAGAATGTTCTTTCATGTGGGTCAAATGTATTGATAAATTGGAATTCTCGAGACGATCGTCTCAAAGGCATTTGCATTACTAAGTAGACAGCCTCTTGTGCACTTATTTCAACACCATTGAGAAATTTGTTACCAATATGTCTCACCTTGTTAACAATATTCTTATTGCCTTCTTTTGCTTCTTCACATGCTTTACGAAGTAACTTGCTCATTCCTCTTTGACATTTAGTAATATATGAAAGGATATAAACAGCACAAGCATAAGGATCTAATAAGTACTGAATATCCATATTAGCTTTCCAAGCTCTGAGTAAGTTTGGATTATAACAGTTGATTCTAATCTCAGTTGGCGATCGTTTCAATAACAAAGTGTTATGTTTAAGAGAAAGCCGTATAGTCTTTAGATATTGCTGTTCTGATAAATCTAACTTTTTGAGAAATTCATCAAAGGTCATGGTTTCATCTGCTTTAATAGAGTCTAATAATGAACGTATCTGTCCTAAAGCTTTCTTTAATATATCTGCAACATTTTCATCTAGATCAGTCTCAGACAAAGGCTCTAAAATCATAGTTCTCGGCATTGGCGGTAAAGGAAAGTTAAATCTGCAAACAGCATTTCCTCTTTTCTTGCATGTTTTAGAGTGTTTGTGCCTTTGTAAATTTATGAGTTCAGTTAAATCATCTGAGTCAGCTTTACATGAAACATAGCTATCTACAAAATTGGTAATATCTTCCTTGGAATCTTTACCATACTCGGGTGCATTTTTGATCCAGAATAATCCATGGATATGTGGAGAACCTCTTTGCTGGAATTCAACACGATAGAAAAAGTCAACAACTTGGATGGCATGAACTTTTAATAAAATTGTGAATAAATTGTTGCACCATATGTTCAAAATTTCGAGCACATGTTACTGGATCTTTCTGTATCAATTCAGACTTCTTTTGCCAAGTCATTTGCTTAACCTCATCGTCAGTATAGTGTTTGTTGTCAATAAGACGACCAAGAATTTTGATCAAATAAATCCAACGCGTTTCAGCAGCTGAAAATGAACAGAACCATGTAGGTTTACCAAGCTGACGAATCATTGCAAATAGATCCTGCTTACATCTTTCAAAGTATGGAGGGGAACCGCGTAAATTTCTTAAAACTCTGAATCCTTCATCCAAATTGATTAGCTTATTAACAAAACTTTCACACTTCAAATCTCCTGCTGTATAAGTTTTACCTTTGGTTTTACATTTACGCAATAATAAACTTGCACTTCCTTGGATTTGTCTGATCTGTAATTTTTTTAATTTATAAAAAATGTTTGGCACAGATTGAGCAACTCTTCGATCTCGACTTCGTAATTCCCATTTACAAATTGTACTATAGTGAACAGGCACAAGTCTTTCACTGTTATCAGCTTGACGTTTGCCACAGTAAATGGTAGGGAAAGACAAAAATTCAGCATCTATATCTATAAATATACCAAGTGGTCTATTTCCTTCTCCTGGTGCGAAACTGATTATTTTATCACCATCTTGAGTAATGTCAGGTTCTTGTAATAATGTATCCATAACACCTAATGGTCGTTCAGATACTTCACACCATTCATCATCAGTGTCATTGTCAACGGAGTCGTTCCTTACTCGTGTCTCCACTGCATGTTTCTTCATTTTCAATATTCAAATCGTTTGACAGATTATCAGAAGTTTTCTTGGTATTCTTGGCAATAAATTCTGACCACTCTTCGTCCTTATTGACTGGATTCGACACATAATTATCCATTACTTGTATTCCTTCGTTCTTGAATATTTCACTAGTGCGAACCCGAAGTATTGAGCTGCATCTAAAACTTTCGTAGGTCTAACGTTCTGAAATTGATAATGGTGTTTATAACCAAGCCGTCGTTTCAATTTTATTGGAATAGTTTGTGACTCGTTAATTGGTCTTGGTAAAACACTAACAGTTGTGTTAACATCAGCAGGAACATTAATTACATTCCCATGAATACTTAATTGACCTCCACTAGGCAATTCCCGTACCTGCATAAAAGGTATTCTCGGCGAAATTAGTCTTTCCTCAAGAAGAGTTAAATTTTTTAAGACCTCGGGCTTTTCGGGGAAAGTCATTTTGTTGGCCTTTGAGCAACTTGGAAGTTTACCAACTTTTAAGTTTGAGTGACATGTGCCACATATCCATTCAGTATTATCAATGCTCTTCAGACCAGTAAGACATATATTAAGGATTTCTTTTGAACAAGATTTATATAAAGAAACGTTGCACTCAGTGACAGATGATCTATACCATGATTGGTCGCAACAGGTGCAAATATATTCTGGTCTAACACTAATGTTCTTATGAAATAACTCAATTGCCTTTGTTACGTCGATTTGTTGTCTCGAATCATCAGATTTACCAGGTATTTGCAGAGTTTCACATGAATTGTCATTCGAATTATCTACTTTCTTGTATTTAATCATCTTAGTTTCACTTTCACCACATTCTAGCTTTCTTTTAAGATATTTCCTTTTTTGAGTATCCTTAACTCTTTCCGAATAGTTCTGCTGGTACGTAATATTTGACAATTTTGAAAATTCCGCAACCTTTCTAAGATTTAATTTTTTGTATGTTGCAGTGGCTGTTTTATTTGATTCTTTGACCTTTTCAGGATTTTATTGTCTGTATGTTGCACTGGCTGTCTTAAGAGGGAATCTCCACTATCACCGAGCAACTGGTGGCACATGATGAAAAATGAACTGTTTTCTTATTTTGTCCAGTGATACACTAATGTATACTTAGAAACGTGATGGGGTTTGTTTTCTGAAATATTATTTTAAAGGCCGAAAAATTATCAAGACCTGACATGTACCCAAGATTGGTGAAATTAGTTAAAAACATAGTGAGTCATAGCCTCTAGAAAACTTCGTTTTGCTCAGTTCGCGTCTTCAGGAAACTTCACTTTCGGTTTTTAAACGTGTATATAAGATGTTTATAAACAAGAATTGTCTATTTTGCAATCTTTTAAATGATGTTTAAAAGTCAAGGCAAGCGTGTAAAAATCGCCTTATTTTGCGATCCAAAAAATTCTAAATTGGTACACTTTTTGAAAATTAATTTTTCGTATCCGGGAAAACTCCAATTTCCTTGAAATTTAGGGAATTTAAAGAGAAACTGTTGCTCTAAAAGCTGATATAAAAATTATTTTGGGGCTTTTTGTTACCGCGGAATTATACTGACTATAATATCGGGGAAATCACAAGAAAAACCTTAAGTTAAAAAATTTTAGGTTTGGTACATTTTTTGAAAATCAATTTTCCCTTTCCGGTAAAACTCCGATTTCCTTCAAATTTAGACAAATGTATGAGCAAATGTTGCCCTCAAATCTGGTGTAAATAATATTATGGGGTGTTTTGTTATCACGAAATTATAATGTCTATAATATACGGCCGATTATGTAGACAGACACTTATAGACAGGCAGTTCGTCTAGACACAGTCTGCTCAGATAGACTGTCGAAGCGTGAGGATTTATACTTGTTTTCTCTTGTTATTTGGTTTTGACAGATAAATTATAAATTATTTTAAATTATTTTGCTTGTTTATCGGGATTTTAGAGAAATAAATAGTCAATATGATTATATGAACATCATTACATCATGTTGCAAAAGCTCCGTGCGCGTGACTTGACACATAATAATTAATAGACAAAAGTCAGTTATTGATAGCCTGCTTTAAATCCACTACTAAAAGTCTCAATAGCTCGTAAAAGCAATCCGTATTATCTACTTTTTTCAAACTGAAATATATGTGCTTAGTTTTCTCTGAAGTAGTCGCATAAATCATTGAGATTAGGGCTAGATTTTATTAAACTCGCGATGTGACTACAATGACAATGTCAATGTAATTAGTGACGTGTTTGACAGTTTGTATAAATATAAAACTTCCGAATACACAGAAATTATAAAGTAATATCAAACCTGATGTATAGAACATACGCTGAATTTACTTTGTTATATGCACAATAACTGCATGTAAGCGACTTGCTCTTTTAAGAAACCAATTTGCTAATAATCATTCTTTTTCAAAATCATGCGGACCTTTATTTATCATTTAAATAATATACCCTTAAAATACTGACAATTGATTAATTTTAAGCAGCTACATTATCCATGACAAACTGCAAAAAATGAAGATATTACCCATACTTTTCTGCAACTTATCCAACATATCAGACTTGTAAACACGATGTCATACCCTATAGGGAGTATCGTTAAGTTGAAGTTCTGAGCAATTTCAGAACTCTGTACGTCGCCGCCATGCCATTAAGTTGGGGCCATGGTCCCGCTTCCCCGGGTCCTGGAATTTAATGAAGTGTGACGTGCGTATTTTGAGCAATGTAAATTAGTCGCACTTCATAATATAACAAAATTGCTCGTTACAAATTGTATGAAATTCCATGTCTTAAGCAAAAAAACAAATGTTGTTGAATGCTATTAATCGTCTTCTTTCACTACATATTAACTTCGGGCGCATTCCTAATTTCGTTTAAAAAATATTTAAAGTTATCTAACTTTTGTTTAGGGCTGAAACACGTATTTCAATTGCTCGATCAAAATACGTTACACTTCATTGAATCCCGGGTAAGCGAGACCATATAAACAGCCTCTTATAATCAAATTTCTCATGAGAGCGAAACGCAGTGCCGTAGCTAGCACGATAATTGGGGGGGGGGGCAGATATTCATATATTCGTGTTCTGCGTTATTAATTTCTTCGATTGAAATCGATTGTTTTTATGGTCTGTGAACACGAATATATGAACATCTGCCCCCCCCCCCCAATTATCGAGCTAGCTACGGCACTGGCGAAATGCAAATTTTGTATCATCGCCTCTGATCATAGCCCATGTTTGTATATTTTAAATTCCGATGTATATTAAAATACGTATACTTTCAAACATCCAACCTCGCATCAGACTTATAGTTCTTCAGCGAAACTTTCAGTATACATATAGATTATAGCCGTAGGCGAAATTTTTCAGTTTTGAGAGCAAAACTAATTGTTTTGCCGCTTTTGGGAGCTTTCAAAATGGTTGTAAAACTTTTGAAATGGATAAAAATTTACTATTTTCGACCCTCGACCTCGACGTACGACCCTCGACCCTCGTTATAAGCGTCAATTGTATTTAGGTAATCAGTTCCACAGTTTAGCTCCATCACAACAGAAGCTTTTCTTAAGGTCGAGAAATAAGCGAGATTTAAAAAAAGCTTTTAAATGTTTTCCACGTCATTTTAAAAGTTCTTTCAGATAAGGGAATCTAATTTCTATATTCATGCTATTTCCGATCATATCCCTCAACAGGGCGGTTCCTAGACGCGATAATGGGGGGGGGGGTATATTCATATATTCATGCTCGCTACCGTAAAAACAATCGCTTTCAAAAGAAATCCGTCGGGCAGAACACGAATATATGAACATACACCCCCAATTACCACGCTAGGAACGGCCCTGTCCTTTAATTAAACGACTGAACTTGCCCGGCTTCAACGAAAATAAGGCCGAAGTTTGACGCTTAAACTGGAATGCTTAGAGCACAACATGCTCAAATATAAGTAATTGACTGTTTATAGTAAGTATACATAGCCTTGAATCTAGCGAGTGTACAAGTGTATCTAGTTTATTTTAATTGGCGCGCATAGATCGATCAATTGAAACAAGAATTTGAAGCAGAAATCTTAGTCTTGGAGAGTTTAACAGCGTATTTTTATCTAGAAATAGGCAAACTAGTTTAAAATGATCTACGTCTTATATTTCCTATCAATAACAAGAGAAAACAAGCAAGAATGATTAAGGTTCGACTGTCTATAGTTGAAGAAAATGCCTAATTGTCTGAGGATTTTTAAGGTTTTTTTGTGATTTTCTCGATATTATAGTCAGTATAATTCCGCGGTAACAAAAAGCCCCAAAATAATTTTTACATCAGATTTTAGAGCAACAGTTTGTCTTTAAATTCCGTAAATTTCAAGGAAATTAGAGTTTTCCCGGATACGGAAAATTAATTTTCAAAAAGTGTAACAATTTAGAATTTTTTGGATCGCAAAAAAAGACGATTTTTACCCGCTTGTCTTGACATTGAAAAATCATTTCAAAAATTGCAAATTGGACCCAAGTTCTTTATAAACATTTATAAACACGTGTAAAAACGAAAGGTGAGGTTTCATCGCACGCCAATTGAGAAAAACGAAATTTTCGAGAGGCCGTAGCTCACAATGTTTTTTGCTAATTTCGCCAATCTCGGGTATGTGTGAGGTTTTGATAATTTTCGGCGTTTAAAATAATATTTCAGAAAACAAACCCCACCACGTTTCTGAGTACACATTAGTGTATCACTGGTAAAAATAAGACAATTTTTTATTTTTCTTCATGTGCCACGTATTCTCGATTTTGCTCGGTTTTAGTGGACATTGTCTCTTAAGGTGGCTCCCTAGTGTTTTTTAATTTACTACACTATAGTATTCAGGAGACTCCGGTTTCTTTATTTTACATGATATGAAGACGAAATTTATTGGACACATTGACAATGTTCTCCTGAACATTACAAATTGCAACTTTTGTGTTAAAAATCTGTTGTCATGGCAACAACATGCTTAGAATAAAGCCCAAAATTTGTCTTTTTCAGGTCATTTTAAAAATTCCCTTCGGTGAAATTTTTTAAAACTTTGCATAAAAGGTCATACTTGTATAATGATTTTTTACCCTCAATTTAAAAAAATTAAATCGATACGTTTCTTAGAAAATTTAAAAAACGTCAAAAATCGATATTAAAAATTTTCCTTTCGATTTAATTTTTTTAAAAAAGGATATTGCACTTGTTGTGCCGATATTAAAAAATGTGCAAAGTTTTAAAAAAATTTACCGAAGGAAAACAGAGAAATTTGGGTTTAATTTTGGCAATTTTTACCAGATTTTTACGCGAACAATTTAATACCCAAACTGACGTGTACAGGCATTCTGCATAAAACAACAAGACATGACTTTTTTGAAATCACAAAATATGAATTATGTTTGATATACTGTTTATAACTGTGTCGGTTAATGGTCAACTAAGCGTGGATTATACATGTAAAATTGGCAAAGATATTTAGGTAATTACTAGATATGATTTCTTGGTATTAATTTGAAAAATGTTTGTCAAAATTCGTCCCGTGCGAGTTAGTACATACGTCGGATGTTTTCGCAAAATGCCCGTTCAAATTTCAGTTTTTATGGTGGTATGTTTGGAGTTTCGGCCCTGCTCATTTCACCAGTAGAGGGCTCATTATTTAAGTCATCTTTATTGTCATAAGTGCTGCTAGATTGTGGAGAAAACACTGCAAATTCTTGAGAAAACTTTATATCATATCCCAATGTTCGCGATCGAACCTCGCGTACGGCGGTTCAAAAAACGTCCAGAATACCGCTTGAAAAAAAACAAATTTACAT